TCTTTTCTCTCACCTTCACATATCTACTTGTTTACAAATTTATGGAAACCAATTCCTCTAATATATATTTTAAAATTTATTACAAAAACCAAATTTTAAATATATATATATATATATATATATATATATATATATATATGGCAATTGTTTTATACTATTTTTTATATATTTACATTTATTATAATTACAAACATTAAACAATGCTGGCTTTTATGCGTTTGTAAATAGCTTTCCACCTTGCAATGCACAGAAACATTTTATTTAATTGATCGATAAAGATATGAATTTGCTAAATATGTTTTTTCTTCTTGTACACTTGATGTAAAAGCAAATGATGTAACAAATTCGACTCATATTTTTCCAATATTTTATTAAATCACACCTATATTTTCTTTAATTTAAAATAAACACACACACTTATCTTATACTTGAAGTAAAGTAGCAGTTAAATATTCTGTTTAAATTCAAGCTTATTTAAAATTTACACGTAAATATAATAAATAATTATTTCATTTTCATATATTTTACAAATGCTATTTTTTTATATTAAAAAAATCACCACAAAAGTACATTTTTTTATTTTATTTTTTGTGTGACAAATTATAATTATATGCAATACAAATTTGTAACATATAATAATAATAATATCACTTAGTTCCAAAAAGACACAGATTTTGATCGTCTTCAACGTGGGAAATTTTAAGTTATTTTTAATTATTTAAAAATTCGTCAAATATATTACTTATATGTTATTCATTTTTTTCCTTTTTATACGAAAAAAAATCTATCAAATAATTGATTATGTTTTTTATATAATTAATTTTATGAATATATTTTTAAACATAATGTAAAAATATATATTTTTTATTTAATTAAATTAAATTTATTTTTATAGTTTTTCTATTTATTTTTTCTAATACTTTTAGTTTAAATAATTCCACTTTCTATTATATTTCTCTTTTTGTTCACTCTCGTTAAAATATATTTTTTAATCCAAAGAAAACTTATACTCAATCAGGTATACTTTTAACAATTATTCCCTTGGGATTGACGTGTACTATCTCTTCTGAAAGGTTTTAAAGGTGTTCGAATACCAAAAAGGGCCGCAAAAAGTTCCAGAAACGTTACGTTGGTAAGTTGGGAAATTTTTTTCATGAGAATTGGGGTGGTCATGTGGGGGGTTTGATGTGGTTTTTGCATTTCCAAAAGTCATTGTCAAACTTTGTTCAAACAGAGAAAAAGTGAGTAAAGTTATTTACACTGTGTGGGCTGAGAATGTTCCGTGTGCATATGCGCCGTGCACTCATTTTTAAAAATACAAATGGGGAGATATTTTATTTAGATAAGGAAACATCTTTCCAACGGTATGAGGTGACCTAAGATGGGACCCCTGTAACCAATCTCTGTTCCCTCCCTGTTTTGGAGAGTTTGATGAAAGAAAAACCTAGTGGGCCTCTTCTCCGAGGAATTTTTGTCACAATCAATCTTGGCGGCTGTGTCAATTGAGTTGTCCTGATTACGTGAAAAAACAATAAGCAACCAATTAATATGTAATAGAAAATTTAACATGTATCAGAAAAAAATCAAAAAAAGGCGACACGAGAAAAAATATATGCACATCTCATTTTCAATGTGAAGTTTTAACATATATTTTTTATTTATAGCGAGATCCAAAATGTTATAAATATTATGAATTATTTTCTTATGAATGTTGATGTTAAATAAGTTATGGCAAATAGTAGACTTGATATTATCCCAAAAACTAAACATAACCAAAACATATTTCATGGCCTCCAATATGTGCAAGGAATGCACTTCCAAAATTTTCAAATCTAAAAGATCCAATCCTCTTCACTATTATTTATAACTCCACCAAACCACCTTGCATCATGGCCCACCCAATACTTTTATCATTAATTAACTTTACACAAGGAGATGTATAAAGGGTCCAAATATTGTTTTGTAGGTTAATTTTACCATGTTTATGCAGTAATAATTTATTATAAGATGATTTGATAAATATAATTCTACACATAAAGATATATTCCAATTATTTGGCGATAGAATTATCTTATTTTGCTTTTTGAATACCCCAAAAATGATCAGCATCTATTTTTTTAATCTAATAAAATGTTAGTTAATCAACATGTTGAATTGACAAATAACTCACTAATTAAGAATTTTACGGAAATCTGAATGATGAAAAATCCTTAAAAAAATGTAAAAAATATCTTAACATGGCAAAAGTATCTCATTTAAAGAGAAATTGAAAATTTTATTATTATTAATATGAAGTGAGGACTTATAATGTAAAATTATTGAAAAAATGTTTTTCAATATTTGTCATAAAATTAGAAAAAAAAAAAATCTAAGCTGTCTGAATTTAGATAAAATCACTATAGTGAACTATCGCATTTACTTATTAGATAATTAGACGTTACAAGTGATTGAATTGTTTAACAAAAATACCATGTTATTTGGAAAAGAAAAAATTATATTATTAATAAATAATAATACTCAATTTCGTTCAACCAAAATGAACTCTGTAAATAACAGTAAAATGGCTCACAAAAAAGTGTGACATAGTAAAAGACTTCATGTGTCTTTGTAAATCAAACATGTTGTAGTAATGGATGTATTAATACTATTTATACATGTGCAATCGAAGTATTTGATTAATTTATTTTTTTATCATGCATAAATCTTCTACGGTTTTTTTTTTTTTTTTAATATACATTCATGGAATCATAAGAAAAGTACATCTAAAATGAATTGCAATTACAACGCTGAACTAGACTAAATACAGTATTGAGTTCCTAACTCTTATATAGTTCTAATTTTTTTTTTCTAAACATTTATCATTTAAGGTTAGGTTAAAATATTTTTTTTATATTATTTTGATTATTTTTATATATTTCTTTTTTGAAAATCACTCTTTATAATTTATCTTTTTCTCTATAGTAAATATAATATTAAATTTGTAAATTATAAATATTTATAATTTTTTTTAACTGAGAGTTGTTTAAAAAGCAATAGTAAACAATGTTATTTGACATTTCCCAATTGTCTTAATTAACTACTGGCCCACATACCAAATAACTGTCTAATTACTATTGCGCTAATAATATCCTATAAAACAAAATCCAATATAATAATAAAATTTATTATTATATTAAATTGCCTATTGAATGTTTTTTCTTTATCAGCTATCAATATATAATAACTCTTACAATTGAAGTGAACAATTGATTGATTAAAGTGATTAAAAAATTTGAGCCATTAGGTATCATGGTGCCACTTGAAAACTCACCAGATGAAAATTAATGCATAATTATTGCAGTGTTGATTATTTATAAAACTGAAAAAGTTGGTTGAAATTCAACTGATTATATTAATATAATATTAAAATTTATTATTATATTAATATTTTGAGTTATGGAATGGATGTGAACGTTGTGAGATGTATCACTGCTCTTTATAAAACAAGTAATATAGGGGACGGCAAAAACGAGAGGAAGGATCAAAAGTTTAAAAGTCTCCCTTGTTTATTTGTCTATTTTGTCTATATATATAACATCATATAGCAAAATTTATAATATATCTATTATTTTAACTTTCTTTTTTAAGTAAGAACAAGTACAGGTTTATGAGCTATGAATCTATGATGTGTCATGAGAATATATTTTGGGTGGTCCTTGTTATACATTTTATCCATTTAATATTGAGCTACCAAGGATTGAAAAGAGAGGTAAGATAATTCAACTCTCTCTTTTTTCTTTTCTTTTTTTCCTTTAATTTGATACTGATATATTTTATGTGCCATATCAAATCTATGATGTAAGGTTTAAATGTTTTTATTTAACATAATTATACTATTTTTATTTTTTATTACTTTTTTATCAAATTGTATTTCCAATTTTGACCTGACTTTTGCAACCATATAAATGTTGGGTTACTCAAAAGTCAAAAGTAGTTTTCTACCTGAATTTATGTATTCTGTTTTAAGGGTAAGCTAAATTTCTAACTTATCTTGGTCTGATAAATTATTTTTTCTTCTATATAATATTCTGGTTTTTTCAACACAAGTGTTAGGCACTGAAAGTTACACTACATGCAAGTCCCTCTCTCTCTCTCTCTCAATTTCCCCTCGTCACAGCACAGACCAGGCTCTGGCTTTTCATCTCAGACCAACACATAAAAAGAGTTATGATATTTTAATCATACACAAAAATATTCATTCAACAATTCATTTTTATATTTTTATATTATTATTTATCTATTTTATTTTATTTTTTTCATCAATAAATCATAAAAATAATATTTTAAGATTATGAATAGAAGGTTTGTAAAAATGGGTAGTGAAACATTTTTTTCACGTAAAAATTGCTTACCTACTCAACCCTTACTACCCTCTATATTCATTCACTCTCCTTTCTCACTGCTCCTCTCATCAAGTACCCCTCAGTCCATTTCCTTCCTTCCAGTCCCCTCCCTCCGTTTCCTTCCTCTCAGTTCCCTCACTCCATTTCCTTTCTTCCGGTCCCATCAGTCCATTTCCTTCCTCCCAGTCTCCTCACTCCATTTCTTTCCTCCCAGTCCTGACACCTAACCTGTTCTCTTTTCCCTCACTTCATATTTCCACCCTCCTCCTTCCTCGCTACCAATTATGCTAATTCCAATATTATTTTCAATATTAATTATGTTTATGATATTTTTCTCTTTTTCACTGCTGGGATACTATGTAGCCTGGTAGGTATATATATATATGTGTGTAATATTGATACATTAACGTTATGTCTATTATTGTGCTTTTTTCTGTGGCCTCGCCTCTTTTGCACTTCGTAGTTTGCTGAATTGTGCTTAGTTGATAACTAATAGTTTTACGTTTTGATTTATGCTTACAAGGTGTGGAGTTTACAGAGCGATCGATCTAACAAGCTCATTCAATAACAACTCTAATGGAGGACAGGATTTCCGAAACGAGACCATAATCATCATCAATGGAGGGTGGTCACACTGCTCAATATTTAACTTACGTAAGTATGATTAAGGTAGAAAATAGCCAAAATTCTCTAGTGATTCCATCTATTTTAAGGGTTCCTCCATTGGTTCGATCCGAGGTGCATTTAGCTTGTTTAGATGAGTAATTCATGGACATGTCGGAACTTAACCCACATCATTAAGTGAACTCTAGTCCACTGGTTTATCGCCTATTTCAGCACCCCAGATGCTTCCAGCACCTCGCTCCTGACCGGTGCTGGGTTTCCGTCATTTGAGTTGAGTTTTCCAAAAGATAAAGTGGATAAGCACTGGGAGCCGAGGCTAAGGCACGCGGTGGTGGTAATGTTTTAGCGTTACCTGGTAAAGTTGAGTTTTCTCATGAGCGAATATAGATATAGAAAGTGCTGTGTGTAAAATTTATTGCCACATGCCAATCCAAACAACTTCTACCTTGCGATCTTCCTTTTTATTTTATTTTTTCAATTTTTTCTTCCCATATAGAAGGCAATTTGCCCAATATCTAATCATTAGTATACGTTATATCTTTCAGAATGCCACCCTATTATTGCAAATTCTTTTAATAACGAGGGTGACGGGGTCCAAGACTATCGAAATGCAACAATCATATAATTCAAAGGTGAAGCTGTACCTCAGCTTCTGCGGGACTGAGTGAGGACTAATAAAACAGGTTTGACTTTTGTTGTAATGTTTTCCAACACTTATTAGTTCATCAAACATTTCGTTAAATGAAATATTGCTCATGGAAGTAATGTCTGAGTACAGTTTATAATTACAAAATGTATGATAATTTGATCTAATGATTGTTTGCCTTCCAACGTCATCTAATATTTTAAGCAACACTGTTCACCTGTCTATTGTCCCTATAACCTATCTCTCCCCTCGCTTTTATAATTTTATCAAGTTGGAGTAAATATCACTATATGTTGATTATTATCTATCAATATGAGATATATACTGAATTTTAAAAAAATTGTTCACATTTGGAGAGGTGTTTTTGCTCTTAAAGTTTTTTTTTTTCCTTTCTAATAATATTAATAAAAGCTAAAATGATTCTTAATAATTTTAACAAATGTAATATATAAATGCTTGAAATAGTTTGATATAAAAGTAACTGAAATTAACTTCAAATATTAAAAAAAAAAAAAAAACTCTAGCGCTTGGAGTAACTGTAATGATCCTGTACACAAAATTTTGAATGGACAGTCTATAATCGTATTATTTACAGCGGTGACTACAACTGTATCAGTTTATAGCAAATACAGAATAATATATATATATATATATATATATATAAAATGTTCAGAGTTGCGCTCTCTCTCATTCACGCGTGACACTCTCTCATTTCCCCAACTCAATCCACGTATGCCCTCGCTTTTTAAGACGTCACCCACCAACACCAAAAGAAAAAATACAAAAGCAAGAGCATGTCAGAGAAGCCGGTGATTATAGTGTCTCCTTGATCTGCGCAAATCGAACTCCTGTACGTTTGTTTGATGATTGGATCGAAGGGAGCACCAGTAACTGCTACTGACTTCGATGAAATATGAATATATAATATTGTTTCTCTAATCTTTATTTTATTTTTTTCTGGGTTAAAAGGAAAAAGGAAATGTTTGCTGAATTATAAGATTTTTTAGTGTTGCGTTGAAAAATCAGAATCATTTACTTAATTTCTTTTACACTTAAATTAAAATGAAGGATTTTTTGCTTTTACCCAAAATTGTTTCTGGATGGAGACACGGACAGGGGTAGTACAGGTTTAGGATATTTATTAGTTTAATAAGTCCCCGGGTTAATTTATTGGATGGTACAAAATAAGAAGGGAAGATGCGATGGAATAATCCAAATCAAAGGTATGTAAAGTCTACACGTTCCTTGTGACACATAAAATAAAATAATTACGGAGGAGGCGGAATTATCAAATTTAATTTACCTATATGTTAATGATCATAATAATTTAAAAACATGTATTAAGCTCATGGAAAGGGAGACTGAAACAAAGGAGATGTAGTGAATCATGATCCAATTAATGTGCAGCAACTTATATACAAGTCAATACAACATTTTCTTTATTTATTTTATTATGCCTCTTATATGTGGGACATCATAGTCTTTTAATTTTATTTTATTTAATTGAGGAAAAAACTTAAAATTTGCATACACAAGATTTGTACGTTGTATTAAATAAGCTTTTCTTCACCATAAGCTAATCTTCCATGGAACAAAGTTTGAAAACAAGGTGACATATCATAAGAGAAAATGTCCTCCAAATGTTAATCTTTTACTCCATAGTTAATTATAGAATACAAACAAACGTAATGATACAAGAAAGCAAATAACATGCTTTACCGTCGTCACCTTCTTCATGTCCGTTCTTGCTGTCACATCATAGCTCAACAAGTCGTACGTACGGCGTAACGTAACACATCTTTCCTACCCTCCCCGTCAAACATGCTTAAATCCTATATATAACTCCCAATATAACAAAAAATAGATTCTAATGCATATAAAAAGACAACATGCTGGATTCATTTCATTTCTGTATCTTTTAACCATTGTTATTTATAAGAAATATAAGAATATTTTGAATTTATTAGAGCTAAATGTCAGTGAAGAGTTGAATAGATTTATGTTAACCCTTTACATGTTTTATTTACTGCTACACTAATGAAAAAATAACATTCTATGACGAATTTTTATCACGGTCGTAATCCACCCGTCATAATATGTAGTGCGGTGACAATTTTGTAATAAAATCATAAACTTTTTATGTCGGGTAATAGGTAACCGACATGGTAAGTGGAAAGTTCACTTTGTATGTCGGGTAAAACTTAACCGACATAGAAAGTTCACTTTGTATGTCGGTTAAGTTTTACCCGACATAGAAAGTGAACTTTGTATGTCGGTTAAAATTTATCCGAGATAGAAAGTGTATTTGATGACGGGTGTTAGGACAACTAACATAGTATCTTCTGTTTTACACCTATTTCGGCGTTCCATTTCGTCACTTCACCCATAGCAGAGCTCCTCGTTCTCTCTGTCTTTTCTACGAACGTGATCGCCTTTGTACGTTTCTCCCCACCCAGCTCTGCTCGTTACGATGCATTCTAGAAACATTAACATCAACAGAGTTGGCTCATCACGAGGTTACATGTCAAATATGCCTCTAACTATCCCAGGTTTTCCGCACCCTGATATTAATAATGAGCGCGAGGTCGAGGTCCTGCAGTTTGTTGAGGTTCCCGAGAGAAGTTGGAATGACGCCAACGAGGTTGCATTGGATAAGCCAGAGACCCTCGAGGTTGGTAAGGTTCCCAAGCTCTGGAGGGATCCAACCCGGGAAGAAGGGATTGTAAGAGAGGTTGAGCATTTTCAAAGAGGATACATTGCCCAAGGAGGGGGGATGGTGCCTTCTAGAAGATTGGAGACGAGGGAGAGGACTTGGAGGTTCTGGAAGGTTCCGAAGGAGTCCGGGATGGGGCCGGAGAAGTTGTTGCCGGTGAGGTCGAGGTAGCGGAGGTTGGGGAGGAGCGGGAGCGTGGCAGGGAGGAGACCGGTGAGGAGGTTCTGGGAGAGGTCGAGGTGGCGGAGATTGCGGCAGAGGGAGATGTCGAGAGGGAGCGTTTGGTTGATGGAGTTGTTTAAGAGGTTTATGGAAAGGAGGTTGGGGAGACGACAGAGAACGTTGGCGAGGAATGGGCCTCTAATGTTGGTGTCCGACAGGTCCAATGCTATTACAGTGGTGTTCGAAGCGTCGCCGACACAGGTCACTCCATACCAGTTGCAAGGAGTGGCGTCCCTTGAGTTCCACGACGAGAGAGACGCGTCTGGGTCGTCGAGAGAGAGCTTGAATTTACTTTTTACGTCGGTTCTTAGAAACTGACGTAGAAAGTCTTAATTTCTACGTCGGTTTTTAGGAACCGACGTAGAAAGACTTACTTTCTATTACTCTTGTATCTATGTCGCCGCTTTAACCGACGTAGAAAGCTCATTTTAACCAATGTAAAAAGCCTTTTTTACAGTAGTGCTACTTCCAATTGACACCATTAATAAATCCTAACCACTTCATTAAAAGAAAACAAATATTATAAAACATTGAAGACATTGTAATTTTTATGGAGGTTATAAGAGAAAGATTCATAAATGATAAAACTAAATATAAATTATATGGATGGATTTCCACGATATGTTATATTAAAATGTTTCATAAATCTATCTATTAATTCATTTTCATTGAAGCTTTCTCATTTTATTTTACTTATAATAATTATTTGAAAGGGATAAATATTAAACTCTTTCCAATCAAACTAATTTAATTTGTTCATAACTTTTATTATTATTATTATTATTATTATTATTATTATTATTATTATTTGAAACGAGATGTGAGTTAAATAATATTCAGATTATATATTATAATATTATATTAAAAATAGATAATTATCTAATTTAGTTCTATAAAATTATTTTATAAAAAGTTTTATTTTAATTATATATTATAATATTAAAGCGGACATCTCATTAATGAATTGAATATTTTACTTAATATGACAATTGAATATTATTACTTTACTTAATTAATATTTATATTATTATATTTTTTTTATTAAAGATGAATTAGAATATAGAGTTCATCAGCATAATCAAAAGTCTTTAAATCTTAAGCTGAAAGTAATTAAAGTTAATGAAACTTGTGAGTCAAAAGGTTTGCAACAAACATGGCTCGTCGTACAATAGGTCTTGCTCTCTTTATGTAAACATAGGTAGCCATAACTTGAACTTCACTTCAATCATTCTATAATAAGTATGTGCCAATAATTAAATAAAAAATAGTTAAGGAACATAAAAAGAAAATCTGGTAATATTTTTCTAAATTTATCTTAAAAGGTTAAAGTGTATACATATAAGAATTTTTAACTCATAATTCATCAACATTGATTTTAGGTGACAGGGTGGCTAGCCTGTGCCAAACTCTCTTTCTCTTCAAAATTATTTCTTGATAGATTTACTTCTACCTTGTAAATTAAATTTTAGATATATAACATGCTGTTGTAATTTTTATTTATTCATGATCGTTTCTATACTTTAATATTAAGAGCTATAATGTAGTTTATTTTAAATTAATAAAAAAAATTAGATGTTCAAAAAAACACTTTTTATTGATCGAAATTAGTGATCGAATTTTGTCGGTCGCAATTAGCGATTGATTTTACCATCGAAATATGATTTGATTTTGAAAGCAGTGATGGACAGATTGATGGAAATATTCCTGCATTCCCAAGAAATGATTTTGATGATGATTCAAGTCAACTACATTCAAGTCAATACCA